TAAATATTTTAATGTAATATATAAGATAAAAATTTATTTTTTAATAAAAATAAAAAAAAATTAAATTAAATTGAATTTTGAAAAAAAATAAGTCGAAATGTTAATCTAACAATAATATCAACAATGCAACTAAACAAAAACTTAAACAATTGTTTTGAATAATATTATGATGATATATTTTTTAAAATTTAAACAATGTATTTTCATATCTTATTTAATCAAAATTGGATAATCATATATTCATTTATTATCATTGAAAAAAAACTTTTGTCAATAATTTGTTATTTATTTAAAATTGATAATATCAACACAAATCATTTTTTTTCAAAATTAAAAACTATAATTTTAATTTAATTAAAAAATTTATTAAATATTATTAAAAACACATACACAAAAATAATCAATTAATTATAAAATAAAAAATAATTAATTTGGATATTTTTTTAAATATGTAATTATATATAAATTTAATTTACATAACTGTTTTAAAGTAAAACTATTTTATTTAATGAACGGGTTGTTAAATTTTCGTGTTAAAAAATTAAAAGAAAGAAAAAAGGAGTTGGAGAAAAAGTTGTTGTTAATTAATTTTGAAAAGCCATTGGCATATAAAATATCAATTTCTCACGACCGTTTAACAATATTTTTGCATATTTTAAACGAATTTGTTGAGTCGTGAAAAAAAATTAGGAATTATGAGTCAATAATGAGAGCTGCTAGAGATTGCGCTCTTTCTGATTTTAGATCGAATCAAAGTGGGAACAATGGTAAGAGGTTTGTGGCGGAGGTTTATGGTTGTCCAGCAATTAAAGCCAAAACCCTTTGCCAAATGTTCCAAAAAAATGAAGAAGAAGCCACTAAAATTAAAATTGGCAAATTTACCAAACTTATTAAAGAAACTAAGTTGTCAAAATTTCCTTTAGAGCTCGATATCGAATCAATCAAAAAAGAAAACCTGAATTTTGTTATTTTTTATTTGATTTTTTTGTTATATTTTTTGTTTATTATCTTTAGTTTATAATTAATAGACCCATTGAAAGAATTGAAAAAAGAAGAAGAAAAAGTGAAAATTTTGGAAAAAAAGTGCCACAAGCTTTCTCGTCTGAAAGAATTGAAGAAACGGGCTGAAGCATGGGACGAGTTTTACCAGCTTTATAAGGGGGAGGTGCATTTGAATATACCTTTTAATCTGAATGCACCCGATGGAGTGACCCCCCTTGAAATTTCATCGTCTGACACGGATACTGATTCTGAATGTGTCACGGGAAAAGGTCTGCGAAGTATCGCAGAAGACAAATTTGTTAAAAAGGCAGATCTGAGCAAAAAAGAAAAGAAGGAAACGTTGTTAAGGCCCCGGTTGTCAGCAGATGAACGGGAGGGGGTGCTTCGTGGCAAGATTGGAGATGAGGCCCTTTTTATGTTTGGTGAATACCTTAAAAAGTATTCAGTTTACAAAAATTGGGTGTTGGTTGATCCACAAGTATTAACGGGGATGATGAGTGATTGCCCTAATCCCAAGGGGTGGTTAAAACCCGAATGGATAAATTTCAATTATGTGTTTTTGCCTTACAACGACTTGGAGGTAGAGGGGGCTCACTGGACTCTTTACATTCTAACGAGTGTAAAAATTAAGGGTATTGGAAAGACCTCCATTTCCAGATTATTGTATCTCGACAGTTGTGGAGGTCTTCCCCATACCAAGGTTGTAGAAACAATCCAAAGGCAACTGAGAGTGTCTTTTAATTCGAGGGGGAGATATCCCGTTACAACTATCAAAGTTCCCGAACAGACTAACAATGTGGACTGTGGAGTTTAC